ACGTCACCGTAGACAGCCATACTTTCTACGAGAAGTTGTATCATTACACATGTTCCATACTCGGAATAGATTCCCCTTTTCACATATATATGTACGGTCAACCTTCAATTTCGACGGAAGCCGAGATGGGAGAGAGTTGGCTATCGGGTAATAAACACATAGCCCCGGGATCCCATTGTTGACCCGAATAATTGCATGTTAATCGCACTTATATTCCGTCAAGCGGAAACGGGGCCATTTTTTCACCGTCTCTGAGCAAAGAAGGATGGTACATATGTTTGGTGAAAATCACACACAGAAGTCTTTCTTTTCTTTTTTTTTTGCCGGAGAAACACTAAATAGCCACCGGGAGGTTTTTGGGAAACTTATTTTCGACCTGTGAATAACTGAGAACTTCTTAATTTCTGCGGTGCATAATAAATAAAATAGATATATTATGCTGTCAAAAAAAGTTCTCTCGCTATTGTTTTAATTATACAGTTAAGGATGACAGGGTTGGGTAATTAACTTTAATTAATTAGTTAAAAGTTAATAATTTTTAACTTAGCTCAGTTATAATTTAAAATGTAATTATTTTTAATTTTAACTAGTTATTTTTCACCTTCGACTTTTTTCCTAAGTTCATTTTTTTTATCTCTGAATACCATATTGTTTTTTTTATAAGTTACAATTGTAATTACCCAAAAAAATTATTCTATATAAAAATAAATTCTAATTTAATATATGTTTTTAAAAATTAACTTTTAAATTAACTTATTCAGTTGATTTAATCTCAACTTAACTTTAACTGAGTGAATTTTTTATTCATGCAACTTTTAACTTAACTAAATTAATTTTCCAAGCAATGAACTCTAACTTAACTTGATTTTAAAAAATCCTCAACTTACCCAACCCTGGAAATGATTAATCTGACATTCGAATAAATCATTAGTGTCGTTCTTCGGCATAAAACATAGGATATAGGAAGTAAAGATTGCGATCACAATTTTAGCGCGGAGATATTCATAGAGATACTCGTTCTTATATTCGCTGTTTCTCTAATCATCCAATTTTACGCTACTGATTTCAGCACGATATGATGTAGGCATACATGGAATCCTTGCAGGATGTAGAGCAGAAGTTCATGGCGGTGATTCATCGGTCATTGAGAAGAAAGAATTTTCTATCTTATAAGATTCCTTAATCTGGATCCAAGTATATAATATGTCATCTCCAATATTTATGCAGTTTTACAGAACATAATTTTCAATGATCGTCATCAGAATTACGAGGCTTCTTTCCCAATTTAAAATATTATTTGTTATCTACTGTGTTCCTTCAATTATTATTTCTTGCACATATAATCATTGGTAAATTAATTTAAAAAAATTAATTAATAATAATTAATTAATAATAGATAATAAAAAATTATAATAAATATAATAAATAATTTAGTATTAATAATAAGAATAATAAATTAATTAGTAAAACAATAAATTAATGAAAAAAATTAATTAATTGAAAAATAAACAAATTTCTATATTATTTGTTATCTACTGCGTTCCTTCATTTATTATTTCTTGCGCATATAATCATTGGTAAATTAATAAAAAAAAATAAATTAATTAATAATAATTAATTAATAACAAAATTATAATAAATAATTGAATAACAAATAATAAAAAAATATATTAATTAATTGAAAACTAAATTAAATAAAATCAATTCAACATGCACGATGATTTTCACATGTATGTACGTATTAAAGAATGGTGAAGGATATCGCCTAATTAGGATTGAATAGCACGTGGCTTTCCTAATGAGCGACAAGGTTCTTTCACATAATTGCGACATACAACAACGAAGGTCTTTTTAAAACTGCAGGTGCTTCCTCTGTAGATCACAATCGTGCAAGCGAGTCTATTTGCCGTTTATCATTCGTCATTCTCATTATTACCGCGAATTATAGGAATCTCGATTTGAGAAATGTCGATTGTTCACCGAGGCTAACAATGTAAACAATGTAAACAAATGTTAATTTCGAAATTCAGCAGTTTGATTTGCAAGAATTTAATTTTATGTTTTAATAAGACAAATGCATTATTTTCTAATTTTGGAATAATTTCCCATAAATTATTTCGAGATATTTTGCTTGTAAAAATTCTTGGTTGATTAAGATCATTAGAAATTACTGATCTACGGATTCTGATGAGTCCAGGAATGCCTAATTTTTTTGTGACTCCATCTTATAATTAATATAATAATATAATAATATTTAATATAAAAATATAATAATATAAAAATATATTAATATAAAAAATAGATTGTATTTTAAATAAATACGATAATCATTTCCTATATTATTATCGCATATTTCACTTCTTTATATTGTGAGACTATACAATTTCAATAATTTCTACATTATTATGTCCCTATATAATTACCTATTTGCAAATAAAATTAATTTGATCCATTTGATTCCATTACATAACTTCGGGATCCGTTATGCGATTAAACGTCTGTTTCATCAAATAAGATGCTTTTTTTTAAATCCAATATATTTCGCTATATTGTGACTGATTTTTTTCTCCACATAATAAAATTGATGTAAACGTCGATTTTTTCAAACTGAAATATGTATATTACTTAAAAAAAATATATATAATACTATATCTAAATATTTTTTCTGTGCCATCTACAAACTTTCATTTGATTCCTTTTAATAGATATAGGAAATTGCTAAATTAATAATTTAAATTAATAAATTAAATTATGAATTGTTTAAAATGTGTATATAATTCTCAATCAATACTATTTTGTAATAAATAAATAGTGTTTTACTCTCTTGCATAAATTATCCAATTAATTAAATCCGGCATGAAAGGCATAAATAATGAAATATATATAAAATATATATATTATATAATAAAATATAACCTGCACACCTCGTTTTCCAAATATTATATATACACATATATAATTTCCGAAGCGTGAAATGTTTCCTTTCGATTTACTACACCGTGGCCAGTTGGACATTGACCATTTATCTCGTGAAAAAATGCTTATTTATTATGGACGCTACTAGATTTGTTTTTTTGTTTATACTTGGAATCGTTAGGAAGTGAAATTCTCATGTCCGAATCTCAAACCGGTTCTACTACCAGCGAATACAAAATTTAATTCGTCTGGTAAACGAGCGATCAACTTTATGATCCACCTCACGAACGAATCCGCAAATAGAAAACGAACTTTTACGTCGCATTCACGATTATAAAAGTGAGGAATGATATGGTTCACGTAGAAAATTAATTTACCAATAATTTGAAAAAATATACCAAGACTGGAAAATAATTTGGAACAATTTCGTCAATCGACAAATAATCGATCGATACATCGATTAACAGGCATAAGTCATTTTTCATTAATTTGAATTTTAACATAAGTTTTCATTATACATTTTTTCATGCAGAGGAACTTTAGGACGTTTTGACATCTACGCAAATATTACAGAAAGTTACGAATAAATAGATATAGGTAGCTAAAATCTAAAATTGATAAATTTCTTTATAAATTTATAAATTAAGCTAAAATAATTTAAGAATTTTTTATAAATAGATTGTACTTTTATTAATATTATCAATGGCGAACCAAAAATATGTCGTATTGTTTTTATAAAATTTATGCATTTTATATTTCTATTATCACTTCATGCTTTTTATTTAAAAAATAAAATTTTATGGATTATTTAATATTTTTTAGTTATTAAAATTTTACGAATATACTTTAACCGAGTGCACCTAATATTTTATAATACATATCAATAGATTAAAAAAAAATAATTAAAATATATAAGATACTTTAAAATATTGTCCCACTATAATTTCAAAATTTTTAAGTTGAAAAAATATGCAGAAGCAGCGCACTCTAGGATACACCATTTTTTATAATCGTATAATAATAAATCGTGAGTTAAATGACGGAATGGCGAGAAAATGGGCAGAAGAAGACAAAATGTATTTTATCATTCACAAGCGACGCATGATAAAGATATCGATCACGTAGCTAACGTAAAAAAAAAGAATTCTTCACGATTTTCCCATGCTCAACTAGCTGTCTTTGGATCTTTTGTTGGACATTATTGGAATTTCAATTGATAGAACGGTGATAGAGATCGTGACGACATGTCGCTATCATTTCGATCACTTGCGGAAGGTCGCACGTGATTGTATTAATAAATCCTATATTAATACACTTAAAAAAATTTAGTTAATTCTTATAAGTATTTATTTTAATAATGTCAAATAAATCATTTATTTGAAACTAATAAAATTTATTTGATATGAAAAATATTTATTTGATATAAGAAAATCCTTTTCACAAAACAAATCAATATTTATTTGTTTCAAATAAACGATTTATTTGACAGTATTGAACTAAATATGTATTAATTTAGTTATTTTTTTCAGTGTATAAATTGTACTTTTTTATGTCATGCACACTAAAAAAATGCGTTAACTTGACCAAATCTTTCAACTAAATTACTATTTTGTTAATTGAACATATACTAGAATTTAAGTCAAATATACATTTTGTTAGATTTAATTTAAATAATTTATATGCTTAATTAACAAAATAATATTTATAGTTGAAAAATTTAGTTAATAAATTTTTTCCTCAGTATATATATATATATATATATATATATATATATAAATTTAGTTAATTCTTATAAGTATTTATTTCAATACTGTCAAATAAATCATTTATTTGAAACTACTAATATTTATTTGTTTCAAATAAATGATTAATTTGACAGTATTGAACTAAATATGTATTTTTTTCAGTGTATATATCCACATTGCATTTTTTTGATCGAGGTCTACAAAATCATATAATTTCGTAGAATTTCTATACAATTATTCGCAATTACTCGTAATTATATAAAACGCGCAATTTCAGAGCAATTACTCGATTCGTGCGAAAAAAGGAAGATTACGAAAGAAACTTACTTAATTACTTACCGCGTTATCCGAATCTCGCAGACAAGTGGAGATGTCTCTTCTTTTCCCTCGTGAGCGTATCTCTTCTTCCAAAATGCATCCGAGAACGTCCGAGATTTTCCCCAGAGCAGGAAGATATTTTTCAGTCTTGTGCACTTTTTTCTTCCCGAACAGCTGACGACGCTCGAGCGCACAAATTCACCTGGTTCCGCGGATTCTTGCGCGATCTTCCGCTATCAGAATGAAAGCTTTTCTTAAGGCCGTCTTGTACTTATGTTGCTGCCCCCACTATGAGTGGCGACGAAACGCACTTGGTGTGTGATGTTTCGAAGAATTCTAGCCTCCCCCCTAGAATAAGTTCGATACAGAACCACCTCGGCACACTTTCGTTCGTTTTTGCACCTCTTCAGGCCGACGACGCGACGCTTCACTCTTCCCGATGCAGCTTCACTCTTCACGAGACACTTTTGCTTTTGCTCGGGACCGAAATCAATCATGCAGAGGAAGTTCGATTGTCATCAATCTGTCAGTGAAGCAATTTAACAATGAATCAATCAGCAAAGCAATTTAACGATGACTCAATCGCTGTATCGAATCTTTTTTTCTTCTCTTGACAGCTCGCTTTTTTTTTAATGTGAAGAAATTTATTTATTTATTTGTCATTTGTACCTAAATTAGTTTTATAGATTTTTTGCTCGAAAGGGGCTTCTGAAATTTCCAAACTTCCAGGAAAGAAATGAAGAAGTCATCTTCGCTCGTAAAATAATTTGCTGTATCGAATCTTTTTTCTTCTCTTGACAGCTCGCTCTTTTTTTTTAAATGTGAAGAAATTTATTTACTTATTTGTCATTTGTACCTAAATTAGTTTTATAGATTTTTTGCTTCAAAAGGGGTTCCTGAAATTTCCAAACTTCCAGGAAAGAAATGAAGAAGTCATCTTCGCTCGTAAAATAATTTGCTGTATCGAATCGTTTTTCTTCTCTTGACAGCTCGCTTTTTTTTTAAATGTGAAGAAATTTATTTATTTATTTGTCATTTGTACCTAAATTAGTTTTATAATATTTGCTTTGAAAGGGGCTTTTGAAATTTCCAAACTTCCATGAAAGAAATGAAGAAGTCATCTTCGCTGGTAAAATAATTCAGAATTTTCTGTGATTTATTCTTCAGCAGAGGATTCTCTGCAAATTTTTCACATTTTTTTCATTTTCTTCGAGAGCCGAATTTGATCACAATACTAATGTTTGATTATTTACGCTATATTTATGCAATATAATTATTACATTTATAATTATTATATAATTATTACATTTGATCACGTGTTCGATCATCTTCAGTATTTTTATGTCATTTGATAAAAATTACACTAAACAAAATTATTAAATTAATAAATATTTATTTCAATATTGCCTTATAAACCATTTATTTAAAACAAATAAATATTTATGTTTTGAAAAGGATTTTCTTATATCAAATAAATATTTTTTCACAATCAAATCAATATTATTAGTTTCAAAAAATGATTTATAAGGCAGTATTAAAATAAGTATTTATTTGAACTTAATAATTTTTTTTCAGTGGAATAGAACTTAATTTTCTTCTCGTGATTGATCATCGCAAGTCTTCTATATTGAACCTTTACTAAGGCTGATCCCAGAAATCATCAACTTTCTCTGCACTCTCACTATATCAATGAATTGTTACTTTATACATTTGGATACTTAAAGTACTTAACGAGTCTAACGGCAGAGAGAACTAATTATTTTATTGCGAACACGTGCATGAAATAATTTGACAAGCTGTACACTTAATAAAGTTGGCCAGTATCTCTCTGTAATAAATAAATAAATTACATAAATAAATAAATAAATAAATCACACACACTGAAAAAAAATTATTAAATAATTAATATTTATTTTAATACTACCTAATAAATCATGTATTTGACACAAATAAATATTTATCTATTTTGAAAAAGAATTTTCTTATATCAAATAAATATTTTCACATCAAATTAAGTACTTAAATTATATTATATAAATTATATAGACATAAAGTTTTCACAGATCGGCTCTCACAATATTATATTGTGTATATAATAATACATATATTATAATATAATTATATATTATATTAATATATTCTATAATATATGTTTATATATATATATATTATATATATATATATATATATTAATATATAATGTTATATATTATAAATATATATACACATACATTAAATAAAAAATATATATATGGAATATATTATATATTTATTATATATTATTTTTAATAAATATATTATTTATATAATATATATGTATTTAAATCAGATTTCCGTCAAGGACACATTTATGATTCTCATATCGAAATAAGAAATACATCGTAAAGTTAAACTTTCAAAAAGACGGAGCAGATGATATAAATTTCGAATCATCATTGAGAGAAAGATGATGATGAACGATGATTAGTAACAAATCCGTTTTCACATGACCGAAATTGTATTTCGAGATTTATGCCCGCAATTTATTTCCTCAAAAATGACGAACGTTCGCGCAGAGAAATTGCTATATTTATCGCACATAGGCACAATCTAATTTACTAAGATTTATAAATAGAGTTTCCAGTCAGAAATTATCGCGCTCTCAATTTTATTGACTCCTTGGCACACTATTGTTACATTCTTCACTTACGCAGTAAATTTCTAATCCTATAGCGAGAGCGCGAACACATTGCAAAGACAGCGAAGACAGGACAATTTTGCTTTGGAATATTTAAACAGCCTATAACTTCGTTTTATACATTGTCCTTCAATCTTGTTTTATTATAATTCACCAATAAGCAATATGCTAGTAGCGTGAAAAAAATTTAAAATATATCACCGCGACATAAAATTTATTCAATAGATACATATATATGTATGTGTTTTGAGTTGTGTTTATAGACATATATATATTATTAGCTATTTTATGATCTTTATTACTTCTTTAGAAATCAATCAGGATTAATTAATTCAAAAAGCATTCAATAAAGAACTTTAATTATAATAATATTAAAGTATAAATATATAATATTAATAATTATAGATTAATTATAGTATATTAATATACAATTTTAATAATTATATTAATATTTAAATTAATATATTATATAGTTCTTTATATTAAATCTGGTATTTAAATTAATTAATTTTGGCTGACATTCTTAAGAAATGGTGAAGATTATAAAATATTAGAGTTTTCTTAATTATAGTATTAATATGAAATGTTAATAATTATATTAATACTTGAATTAACATATTATAATGGATTATAAAATATTAAAGTTTTCTTGTTAAAAAATCTTGAATTAAATAATCTTGACTGACGTATTTTTAAAAAATAGTAAAGTCATTAACAATAAATATATGTTAGTTAAAATTAATTTTAAGATAGTAAAGTTCCTTATTAAACTCTGATATTGGAATTAATTAATTTTGACTGACGTGATTTTTAAAAACCAAGATTATAAAATTGCTAACATTAAATATACATCAGAATTAATTAATTTTAATATATTAATATTTTATTAAAAATCTGATATTAGTTCTGACTGACGTATTCTTAAGAAATAGTAAAGATTTAAAATAACATTAATAAATTACTAAATAATAAATAATAAATTAAATTAATAAATTATAAAATAAATAATGAAATCAATAAATAAAAATGATAATTTTATAAATATTAATTATATTTATTTAAAAAATCTGATACTTGAATTAATCAATCCTGACTGCATTCTTAAGAAAGAGTGAAAAAAATAAAAAATACTAACATTATACATATGCATATATTTGCAATAACTTGCTATTCGGTTATTTGTCGAGATGATACGTGATCTAATGTCATTTTATTCAGATGTTTATTCATATTACACGTTTTTTTCACACGCGATGACGATGATACGCTACTCGGTAACAGCTTTCGACAATGCAATCTCCGGTAGCAGAGATAACATACCTATCCTTGATCTGGAAAAATCTAGTCCGCTGTATTTACGGGAAAAGCTGCTAAAGCGGACTCGGTTTCTCGCGTGAAACTCCGCCGGCATGACGTTATTTATTATTTTGTTCGACGTGTTATCGTTGCGCTGATCCGCATAATTTAACGGCAAACATGAAAACGAGACACGAAATGACGATGTTCGTCGAGAAGAAGCATCGTTTTCCGAATACCAAGCGCAATCAACTTATTCAAACATTGAAACGCAAAGATAGTTGGATATTTTGCTTTCTGTGTCTGCAATGTTTCTTTTCCTTCTTTTTTGCCATTTTTTATTAACAACGACTTCCGCTCCTCTCATTCCGCTACGTAAAAAGGATTTAGCACGAGAAGAATACGATATTAAGAACGCGGTGTTTTTATAAAATAGAAATAGAACATATATATATAGTATTTCATCAATCAATTATAAAAAAAAATATTAATAAGTATGTGGTATCAAAAATAATAAAAAGTATTAATAAAATTAATAAATTAATTAAAATTTAGAATATATCAACAAAAATATTTGTTAAAATATTAAAAAATAAATTTATCAAATATTGATAAATTATACAAAAATTCTAATTACTGTGCAAGAGAGAAAGAGAAAACCGGATTTGTTAATTTTTATTATATAATTAAATAATTTCTATAATTTATAATTTATAATAAATAATTAATAATGTATATAATTAAGAATTATTAATTGTTGCACACGCATTAGTGAAAATAATGGAGCTTGATAATTTGTCAAAAATGTATGACTGTCTCGTATCAGAAAACAAAATTAATTCAGAGTTGCTGCGTGAGACGAAATAAATCATGTACGCAAAAAGTTTTATTATAAATTCGTACAATTCCAATTTTGTTCCGGTATTATTGGTAAGAGAGAAAGCGCGTAAGAGAAAACATATTTCTTATCTAGAAAAGAGATTATTTTCGGTCGGTGTAGCTTTATTCCATTTTGGACAGCTAATTATTAATTATCCGAATTAAAAGTTCCGCATCCATTGTCAAACTAAAATGGAATATGGATTTTTGTGTATAATTAATTTTATAATAACACACAAAAAGAGAGGTGTAGATGCATGAACCGTATATCATTGTTACAATTAATGTTTGTGTATGATTAAAAAATTTATAAATTATTTTTCAAATATTACATAAATATTACATAAATCTCTAAAATAATAATTTAAAATTATAAAGATTTAATTATAATTATAATTATTAATTTTATAACATATTATAAAATTAGTAATTAAAATTATTAATATAAAAGTAATAAAAAATGCATTAAATTTTTAGTAATAATAATAATAAGTCCTTAATAAATGAATAATTATTTCCTAATAATTTGTTTTTAAATCATGAAACTTTTGTCTAAAATCTAAAACATTATTTCTTGAAAAAAAAATCTTATTGTTATAATAATTTATAATTATTTTTAAAATACCCAGATTTATCTCGTGAGAGAAAAATCTCTCTCACGACTTCTAACATGATCCATATATGACAATCATGTTTGAATGATCGGCGAAAAGTGACAGCAAATATCCAAGTAGCAAACTGACGTCATTAAACGTCAAATTGACGTCTAATGACGTCAAAATGGCTACCTGGGCAGTCGCGCTTTCTGAGGAAAAAAAATAGTTATGTTTATATTTATTATGATAAAAACATATGAGCAACAACGCGTGCTCTTACATTTAAATTATAATCGCTGCGTGATGCCTGTAATTATGTGATCTAAGAGTTACGAGGGCATGTAATTATTTGCAGACGGCCACACGCGCATATATATGCAATATGTCAATCTACGAATAGATAGTGTACACGCATCTTACATGCATAATGTGATGCATAGATGCAGTTCCTTAAAAATGTATTCATTTATATTATGATCCGCATCATATGTTTCGTGATTTTATTTTTATCCAGATTCCTTCGCAAAAATAGTAGATTATTATTAGAAGACAATATAAAATATATTATCTTCTATAATTAATTTACCTATATTTTATAAATTTATAAAATATAGGTAAATTAATTATAGAAGATAATATATTTTATATTAGCTTCTAATAATAATCTACTATTATTTATATAATTAATATTAATAATATTATGTAAATATTATAATAATATTATATAAATATTACATAATTATATATATTATTTGTATAATTATATAATATTTATATGATAATCTACTAATATTTATAATCATATATTTTATTTTATAAAATATATTGTTATAAGTATATTATAAAATATTATATTTTATAAGTATATTATAAATATATTAAAATATGTAAAATACATTGTCTTCTAATAATGATTTACTATTTTAGGTAATATATATTTGAATATTTATTTTCTTTTTATTGAAACGAGGTCTTGTAACCAGAATGAAAAACGGCTAAACAGTCTATATGAATATGCAGAATGTTTATATGGTTTTGCACAGATCTCTCTAATTAGGCCAATAAAAAAATACGTGTCTATATATATTGTATGTGTATTAATTCTATATCACATATATACACACACTAGAAATTTAGAGATGGAAGGAGAGAAAGAAATGCTGTGTACATTTTATATGCGAGAGAGCATAAGTAGAAGAAAGGGCAAGCAACATTTTAATTTTTTTCTTTCTACGCTATTACACGCTTATATATTATAAATAAAAAAAAAATTTTTTGTTAAATCCAATCACGCGATCTCCTAATATTAGAAAGAGAGAAGTATCTTTCAAATTTCATATAACTCGGAAAGTACTAAATAAAAAAATATATTACGTTTTGAAAATACGTCTTGATATCATTTATAAAATTATGAAATAAAAAATAAAAATTTTTATAAAAATCAAAGTAACCTGATATGACCTTGGAAAATTCACAATTTACAAAGTCAAATTAAATTTTCATTGCATTAATAATAATAATTCCTTAATAAATTAATTATTCCCTAATAAATTTTTATATTAAATTTGATAATATATGATAAAATTAATAATTAAAATTATTATTAATAAAAATAGTAAAAAATGCATTGAATTTTTAGTTATAATAATAATTTCTTAATAAATAAATAATTAGTTCCTAATAATTTTTTTTAATCAAGAAACTTTTGTCTAAAACATTATTTCTTGAAAAAAAAAATTATTATTATTTTCGAAAAACAAATTAATTTTCTGAAAAATATATAAAATGACATCCTGCGTATGTATATGTTCAAGATAATTGCACAAATATATTATAAAATTACTTAAAAATAGTAAAAATGCATCAAATTTTACTAATAATAAAGGCGATAATGAGGTGACACCATTATTTAAATATACATTCTATAAATTATTAATAAAAAAATACAATTTTTTACTTCTAATTATTATATTTCCTCTCGCGATAAAAAGTAAAAAGAAAAGAGAGATTCTATCATTATTCGGTTCTTTCTTAACGATATTAAAATGACAGAAACACATAATCTCGATGCAATAAAAAAAATCAATAAAAAAACGACACGGCTAAATACACCTTTTCATGAGAACCGAAAAAGTTGAGGCGATTAATTCAACTCTCTTGTGTATATTTGCTTGTTAATATAAACTCGTACAATCTAATTTAACGGGAACATGTACCACCGCCGGCAAAGAAATTTCACACGATAATTCATATGCGAAAGAGCGAATTAACTTTTGTCCGGAATCTTTCATCTAGTTTTAGTTGATCCAAAAAGTGGAGTAAAGACTCGTTTCGCGATCCAAGATAGAGAAAGATCTCTCGTTAACGCGCCTCACATAGGCGATTTTTAAGCCGTTTCGGTTTCGCTGGAAAAATTCGAAAGTCACGATTTTTGTTCGATCCAAGCCGGCGTGGCCCTACTTACGTGCATTGATTTTATATACGTAAAAGTAAAAGCAAAACTCGGAGATCGTAAGATACTCGTTGCTTTTAATTTTACAAAAGTTTTTACATTTTAATCTTATAAATAATATTATTATATCATGTGCACAGGAGCGAAGAAATAATATATTGTCAAGATCATCTCTTAAAATTCCATACTGTCGGTTGACACTAAAAAGCAAAATATTGCGATTGTAGAAAAGAAAATGAAATAATAAGAACTAAAATAAAAATAAAATGAAATAATATTTAATACTCACGTTTTCCCTTTAATCTCTGCTCCCGGCGCTCGGCTTCCAAGTGTCGCAAGAATTCTTGAAAAACGTGCAGCGATTTGTTCAGACTTGTTTTCTTGTAATCCTTTATTCGCTTTTTATTCAAGTCGTACGTTTCCTCCTCGGCCTTGTCCTTTATGTCGTACGCGTTGATCTCGTCTATCAAGGTCATTATCGTGGGAACCTTGTCAAGGTCAAACTTGTCCACCACATTCACATTGAACGGTATGCAGATCTTGCCAGTTTTCGGATGAACGCAGAAGGGAGATTTCAGCAGGTGATTTAAGCCCTTGCTCACGTTTATGTCTAATCTGGGGTACGAGTACTGCAATTTTATCTCCTCTATCAAGTGACGGTACAAGTACCATTTTCGATCTCCCTGAAATATATATAAATTAAGTTATTTCAATTTATTTCGATTTAAGATATAATAAGAAATATCATAAAAAAATTAAAGAAATAAAATTTAAAAAATAAAAAAAAAAATGATAAGAATATCATGTATTATACAGGGTGTCCCATTTTAATGTCCTACCCTAAATAAGTTTTTTATTTTTGATTGTAGAAAAAAATGTTTCAGACAAAAGTTGTATGGTTTCGAGGAGGACATAAGGTAGTGCCATTAGTTTGACCTTGAATAGTTGCTTGAGAGTCATGTAAAAAGGTCACCTTTAATTTCTTAAATGGAACCACATATTCTTGTAGCTGGCATCGAGAGCTTTCCAAAATGCTATAATGAAACATTTTTATCTCAAGTACTTTTTGAGTTATAAGACAAGATCTCACCTCAAGGTGACCTTTACGTGACCTTCAAGCAACTATTCAAGGTCAAACTAATGGCACCATCTTATGTCCTCCTCAAAACCATACTACTTTTGTCTGAAACATTTTTTTCTACAATCAAAAATAAAAAACTTATTTAGGGTGGGACATTAAAATGAGACACCCTGTATTATATTAGTTGTTTATAATTGTACCTCCGTTCGTTTAGATTCGATATATTGTACGAATGTGTGCCATCTTGCTTCGCTGGTACTTTCTTTGTTGAACAATGCCTTTACGTCTTGTCTGTCTTCCTCATTAGGCAGTATCGGAAGGAATTTCTCAATTCCTTCCTCTGTACCCAGCATATTCTGCTCTTTAACGCACATTTCGACAAAGACAGGATCAATTATATCGAGAGCGCGCCTGCAATATGTACAATCCCACTTTTATCTCTGATTTTTCTGATTCAGGATATTATACTGGGCATTAATATATTATAGACCTACTTAATGGAATGGTGAATCTTATCGCCTGCGAGATGTACCTTCTTTTTCATAAATTCACCTCCACCTATGACTTGTAAATATTCAGCAACTGCTGCACGTATTTGTCCTGACAAGCTGCGAGCTGCTGCGTCACATACCCAACAATGAATACCTCTTCTGCCAGAAAAAACCCACAAAATATGTTTGTAGCCGAAATCCACTGTAAATATCGAATATTTAATTACTTCAAAATTATTGACACCAAAGGCAATATAATGTGATCGTAAGATATCTTACATCTCAACGCATTGTCCAATATCTTGCAAGCAAGCGACATGAATTTCCAACATTTCCCACATATATCCGCTCCTTTACAGCATGTCCGCACTTCATCATAATCAGTCATATCTATGTCGAACACTAATTCTCTCTCTACTGGCTGAAAATTAGGACCTCTTCTTTGATCTTTTGGCCTGGAATAAATACAAAATGTTATCTTTTATACTTATCTATTACATTTAAAATATATAAAAGTGAAAGAGTCAATGAAAGAACATTCAATAAAATACAAATACAAACAATTATATGGTATCTTCTTTTTTTATTATCTACTTTTAACTAGTATTTTGAAAAACAATCATTACTATGTATGTTACTTTAAAAGAATTTAATTAATGAATTAATTAGTAAAATGCTTGATGTCAAAAAATTAGAGAATTATTACAAATAATGATAAACTGTTTTAAGTTAGAAATAAACTCTATTAGAGAGAATTTATTGAAAAATGTGACAAAAAATATATTTTATATATTATTCCGATACTTTACTGGACATTATAAACCGCTCCTATATCAATTTTATGTGGCAGCAATCTTTTAATTTCATCCGACAGTCCCTTCTGATCAGCGAATGATTGGTAACGTATATAAATATCATCTGAAAGAGTGAAGGAGAATTCTCTCTTGCTGAATGTACCCGCTGAAAGAAAGAAATTAATTAATTAAAGACAAACATTATTATTTATTATATATACAATATAATAATATATAAGAAATATATAATAGAATATATAATATAATAATAATATATATAATAAATTAATATAATAAATACAAATCTTAATCTCACCATTTCCATAACTTAACCACCTATAATAATCAGCAAATGGAAACAATCTCGAATAATAAACTGGCAATAAATCGAGTAAATCCGACACATCACCCATATTAATATTGTTAATTGATACTGTTTACGAGAATAGGTGTGCTTATATTAGGTTATACATATACAACTTCGAATATATCTCACTTGTTATTGTAATTTTTGTTCTCTTTTAAATATCATTTGAAATAATATTATGTGTTTACGTTGATACGTAAACTATACTTGTCATCAAGTTAGAAAAATCAACAAAAATCGAGATTAATCAAGGAGAGACACGACAGAAAATTGGCGCGAAATTTATACCACTTGATACACTGAGATCAAGTTAGATTAATTTAAGTTAGGTTGGGTTATAATAAATAACTTGTTTATAGGATTGTTGCATTTTTCGTTTCTATATTTCATTTTTTTTTAATTATTTTAAAAATAATTATATAATTATTTTTTTTTTTAATAATCAGATTTTTGTTATATATATATATATTTTTTTTAAATAAATTTCTGTTAATTTTTTAAATTTTACACTTGTATTTGAGATTCTCTTATATGTAATTTATTATTGAATTATTTATTATTGTATCATAAATATAGAACCAACTAAAATAAGAAAATTTAAGCTTTTATAATAATAATTAATTTTATATATCATATAAAATCTATTTAATATTAAATGTATATAATAAGAAATAAAATTCGGCTCGTGTAAAATTAAAATAAGTTATAAATTAAAAGGCCAACTTAACGACTTGATTAATTAGTAAAGTTTAATCATTGAATACATTAGAATGTTTATATATACAAAATTAATTTGTTATTAATCTAAATCTTACATTATTTCAGTGATTTTTCTGACAATATCTTATCAATATTTCTACATAATAGTGTGTGTATAAATATAATAAAAACTTGCATTTTAATAACATATTTTATTTACAATTTCGTGCACGTAGTGCATATATATGTATACATTTATTCGTGTGTTATATATTCTCTCAAGTATAGATATAAGTGAAAAATAAATTGTGATATAATCTAACTTAATAAAATATAAAAAGAGAAAAATTATCCTTTATATTAAGCGAGTAATATTTCGAAAATTAAAATCAATATATATTTCCTTTATATAATACAGTCTTTAAACTCGACAAAAATCATGCCATGTTTCTACTCGCCTGAAATATTTGTTACATGCAAAATTATAGAGTCAAATAATTCGTTTCTCATTATTTTGTGTAACTCGTGTGAATGAAAATATTACACAAATATTTGCATGAGTGATTTACACATATCAATGACTTATATCGTCACATTTGCATGTAGATCATATATCATAACTCTTATATCTATGTTACTTATTCTAAACATGGTTTTAATAAAATAAATATATAGACATGATTGACATATATAATATATATATATATATATATTTTTTTTTTGTCAATCACACTTCTATATAATCACACATACATGTGTATTAGTAATAATAATCGAGGAAAATAATATGGTGGCATCTTATCAATAAAATTGTACTTTATAAATAAAAAAGAACACGCACACATATACAAATGCAAGTATACGTTAACTGAATTTCATGAAGTCTAATGGAAATGGAGCAAAGTCCTTTTTATAAAAAAAGATTCCTTTGTCCATATTGTATTCACACACATAAACACACATATACGTAATGCTAGGTATTTTAAACACTCTTAAATTACTTAAGATATTTTAAGTATTTGACGTATAAAATACAACTTGTGATCGTAGCCCAACCACAAAGTTATTATTTTCCTCAATTTTATTATCCTTATTTTTATAAAATAGGAAAAAAACTTATATTGGACATCAAAATGTTGTAGGCAATATTAAAATTGTACCTTGATTATAAAATGACAATATTAAATATATATGAAACTGAGGAAGGATCGAGTAGGTTCAGAGATTGAGTAAAATAAAAAAAAATAAAATAAAAACTATTGGAACTATTGACTATACAATTAACACATTAGCATTTTAGCACATGTGTACATCATCCTATTATCCTATTATTATATTTACTTCTTTTTGACAATAGGTGTTACTCCTATATGTGTGAATATATTATTTACATAGATATCTAATCATAAATGTATGTGATTCACACATGTCTGTTTATATCTTCATTAATTAATAGAGTGATATTGCATTTATCATTAACATTAAAACTATAATAATACGTCATAAATTTTATGACAAACATTATAATTATTTACAAAAATTTTTCATATATATATATATATATAATTCCAGACTCTGATAATAAGTATTTGTATAAGTTTTTTATAAATAAATATTTAATATTGTCTAATTTTTAAAATTCTTGGACAATTTTCACAGTATATTGTAGAAAATATGCGAGCGAGCAGAGAGAAAATACGATATGGTATAGGACGATGAATGGCAGACTGTCTATTGAGAGAAAAATCGCGGATCATGGCCCCGATATTTTTTCTCTGCTCCGAAAAGGCCTACAACATATGTATATAATATATGTTATCTTAGCCAAAGAAAATATTTCTGCAAAAAATTGGATTATGGCCGCCACAGTGATCCCAAATCTCAAAAACCAGACCGAAATATAAAGATGTCCTCCAATTTAAATTACATTGATTATAAATCAAAGAGTAAAAATACGAAAAACAATATTGCGGGTCCAATGTGGCGGACATATTTTTAAAAATTCAGATTTAATTATAATTTAGTATATTTAACTGTTGAGGTCTGTTTACAGTTTAACAATCAATAAATCGTTATATTGTAAAGTAAACAATAAAGCCAATAGCAAATATATTTGGAAAATACATTGATTGCACTATAATTGGGCTTTTAAGAAATTATTTTGAATTGCCAGATCCATCTAATATATATATAAACCATTGTATTCTCTGAATGCAGCTCAGATGAAAGATTTCCTTTAATACTAAAACAATTGGCAATAATAATATCTTAAAACAAAGGAAACAAATTTTTGTTTCATTTATCGTTGCTTGTGTGTTTCTACTTATTTTTCATAGATTATTATAGCATACCATTGTTGAGAAATGTATTTCGCTTTATTTATCATGAGGCATCTTGACAAGAACTGTTCTAGTACCGTCAGTGTCAGAGATGTTGATTTTCAGCTCGTTATTAGCAAGAGCTTCGAGCTTGTTTATCACTTTGACGGTCTTCTGCCCGCCAGGATTCGGCGGCGGCCAAACATCGTCCAACGGCGGCTCGATATATTGTTTATTCGTTTTCGAGATGATGAGATGCGGTTTCAAACCAAGCGTTCCTCCCACGTGGTTCATCGAGGAGACGTACTTGGTGCTTACGGCTTCACTCTCGATGCGGGCACGTTTGTAGAGAGGCATCTGCATGGCCGGGCTGTAATCGTGGTCCAGAAGGCCCTCGACTTCCTGTAACAGCTCCTCGCTGTATTGCTGCAGTTCCTCGTCCATTAGCTGTTTCGTGTACAATAGCGTCCTCGAGCGGCCTAAAATTTAAACACAATTGTCATAAAATCTCGTGCAATGGAATTAATTTATTTTCAGATCAGAGGTACAATTGAGAAAAATATATAAATATATATTTGTATATATATTTATCAAATACTTTTTTTTAAATTTATAATTTATATATAATTGTAGTAAAATTATAGTATGAAATAAATATGCATATATAAAATGTTTGCATATTTTTTGCAATATTTTTTGAATATAAAATTATTTTTATTTTATTACATAAAATATTTTATTTTAAAAAAATATAAAATTTTAATTAATTGATATTGCATATATATAAACAATAAAATAAACTATTACTGCTGCTATATTTTAATTGAAAAAAAATATTTATATATCAAATTGTGCACAAAAAATGATCTGAATAATAAATAGGTCAGCGAAAGGAGATCAATGCTCTCCTGCTTTATTGAGAAAGTGGTGAGACTACTTTTTAACAATCCTTTAGGTATATTCCGGTTCTTACAGAGTATCTCATTGAAGATAATATAGGAGAATACTTTAGATACGTTGCATTTTCAGAAAGAAAATATTTCAGATAAAAATTAGAATTGAAAGGAATTTGAAAAGGATAGATAAATTTGACCTATCAGTGTTCTACTTTATTAAGAAAGTAGAGAAACTACTTTTTAACAATCTTATAGAGATATCTTATAGAGATATCTTTCGGTTCTTACAGAGTATCTCATTGAAGATAATATAGGAGAATACTTTAGATACGTTGCATTTTCAGGAAGAAAATATTTCAGATAAAAATTAGAATTAAAAAGGAATTTGAAACGGATAGATAAATTTGACCTATCGTTAATAATTTAAGGTAACAATCGTTAAGATAACATTAAAACATTCTTAATCATAATTCCTAAAATAACATAGCTATTAAGATAACATCAAGACTATCTTATCTATTAAGGCTATCTATAACTTTTTATTTTCCATTTGCTTCATGTGAACGACTAATATATAATATATTTAAAAAAATATATATACAAAATATATAAAAATATATAAAAATATATATATATATATATATATAATATTTAATAAAAATTGTCCTATTTTTAACATTTGAATCAAGTAATTTTTAAATCAAATTTTAAAAAATGTTAAACTTCGAAAAATTCAACTGGGTTTTCATAAATTATATAAAAGAAAATATAATTAAAAACAATAAAAAAATAAAATAAAAATAATAAAATATTGTCTTCAAACCTAACAAAAATTTATTATTTCTTTTTATTATTTCTTTTTATTTTATGAGCTTAAACAACATGTAAAATTCCATGTCGGCTGTTTCTTGCAATATGCAATTACGACAACATTGAAGAATTTGCTGTGTGTGCTCTGCTCATGCTCAATACTACGAAATAAACGAAAAAAACTTGATAAGAAATCGATACGCAATATATTATGTACGTAAGAAAGCGTTTTTCTTCAAATGATAATTAATAATATATTATTATTACCAAAATAAAGAGAAACGTATATATTTTTACAGAAATTATATAAATTAATAATAATTTTACTTTGCAATATCTTTAACAAGATTTTAATAATTTTGGTTTTTTTAATGTAAAAAATCCCAATTGAAACGGCACATTAATCTGTTATTATATAAAGCCTTGTAAATATTCTTATCAATGTCTGTCATATTCTACTATCGTTGTTGGCACTTTGTCTGTTTTGTAGTTACATAATAATGATGTGTAAATCAAGGACAACAATTTTGAATATTATTTAAAAAATATTTACGATAATGCTATTCTTAAA